GCTTTCATAACTGCGTAGCAAAAATCCCAAGATGTTTTTTTCTCCTCTTGTTCCTCATTCAACAGAACAAGGTAAAAGTCTAGGCTGTGGAATTCAGCTCTTTATGAAAGAATATTTGAGCAAGAACGGATCACACAGAGCATCATGTAGGTCCCGTTAGGTCACTGAAGCTGTATCTGAATTGTGCAACCTGGGAGCACTCTGCAGCTCCAAAGTGCAGGTGCGTATTCACAGACACAGCTGCAGACCATCACAAGGTTACCACAGTGCCATCAGCTGAGTTTGCCATGTGCCTCGCCAATGAAAGTGTGGCCTAACAGAGGAGCAGGACAAGGAAAGGAATGGGAAGAGTCCTAAAAAAAGAAAATGGAAGGCAGGAAAGTTTTAAATGGGATTGCAGTTAAGCAAAAAGCACATGCATCTGTATGCAGAAGTATGGGAACAAATATTTTCTTGCTCTAATAATTTTTTCTAAACATTAAAGCAATCCCAAAGAGCACAAGAGGCTTCACTGTACATGGAGCCCTGCACATCTCACATAGCAGCACGTCAGAAGATTTATGCCCAGTCATCTGTGGCAAGCGCACTTGCTTCACCTTCCACTGACCTCTCACCCTGCTTACACATCGCAGAGGAAATGTAGCCCCAAGGAACCTCTTATCTCTACAGCTGCATCCAGACCAGCTACACTGTGCTTTAAAAGACATATGAACGGAAGAGACACACTAACCCAGCAACCACTCGCTATTTCTTGAAATAAAGATTTCCCATTCACATATCAACCACTTCAAGATTCCAAAGAGTTACACCACCACCCTGATAGCAAGGAAAAAGAAAAGCAAACTGGAGCTGAAGCTTGAAGAATCTGAATTCCAGATTTTTGCAAAATAGCAGGTTCCTATTATGGTATTTCTTATCCTCAAAGCACAAAAGGAGGGTATGAATAAAGACAGAAATACACAGCACTCTGAGAGACTGGAAGCAAAAGGATGGATTCACAGTCTGCAGTAGGAAAGTATATCAACAGGGTACCTATCAGCTGAACAAAATGCAGGCAAATTTGGAAAGTCCTCTGCTTTGAGTGACCCGATGTAAAGCACAAAGGTGAAAGGTGTTGTATCTAAAGAAATACATATTGCCTTCATCAGCCATCAGAACACGGACAGAATCCCACCTGTGCCTAAAGCTAGAGGCTTGGTTCTAAAACATTCAGACGATTGAATCACCACAGGATTTAGCTGTAGCACAAGTTTGGCTGCAAAAACCCAGTGCATTCTATATAGCTGAAAAGGGCATCAGCTCCAAATGCCTTGAAAACAGATCAAGCTTCTCCAGCAATAGCATCCACTTCTTATTGGTTTTAGAGTCAACAAGGCTGAAAAATTCAATGTATATCAGTTTTGCACCAATACCTTCAGATGTCTGTTTTAAGACAAACCAACCTAACGCAGGAAGAATCTGTATCTGCTGTGAGTACAAAATTAGCCCACCTGCCAGGCATGTCTCCTTAAGTGGTTAATATTGGCTCTTTAAATTCCTTAGTTTCACCTAATTTTCTTGTCATTTCTGATTCCAAGATACTTTAAGATTCATTTATTATTTTCCTTTATTTCAATTACTATTATCAAACAATCAAAATCTCCTTTCTTACCGTTTGGGATTAGAAAGCATGAATAATCGATGTTTGAAAAGAGTGCAGATAACTTAATTGAGTGATGTCACAACATCTGATCCAAACAATTCGTAACATATGTAGAGGAAATCTGATTCCAGGAAGTTATCCATTATATTACAAATGCATTTTGAGACAATGTGATTATTTAATGTAAAAGCCCTGTAAGCTCTGAGCTTTCTGCTTCAAGGTCCATCTCTCCTTGACCAAAGGCAGCTGTACCACCCACTGCACTTCAACATAGCTAATTTCTGATTACTCATTTAGCAGAAAACAAGCTTAAAATATTAAGTTTGTACATAAGCATCGGGGTAAGTAAAAAGAAAGTTCAAAGCCATGCAATAGGGAAGTGGAGAAATGAGGAAGAGAAACAGGAGGCAGGACCACACTTTCTAGCTCACTGCACCGCAAGTAGGCTTTCGATACGAGGTGCTCAGTGGAGGCAGGATGTGAAGAGGCAGCCTCTGCTGGCATCAAACTCCTGGCCTGGTTTCTGCTCTCAAGACTATTCACAAACTTCACCCAGCAGCTCTTAAAACAGAATGCATAAGCAGGGCTTGGAGCAGAGCCCTGCACTTTCAAACTTGATCCTGAAGGCAGAATGAGCATGTAAGGTTCTTAAAGGCTTTATTGCATACTTACACTCCAGTACTATGCACTTTGCAAGCATTCATTAACCAAATTTAAATGCTTCATCAAATCATCCATCCTGCACAGGTTGCAGGGCAAGGGCACAGAGAAGCTAAGGTCAAAAACACCCACCCCTGACTTTTCCAAGAACTCTGCAGGAGACATTTCAAACAAAAGGCAGAACCCTTTACTTTACCCTCCCTCCCCCCTAAAAAATATCTATCAGTCATCACATCTGTAGATCAGATAATTCCTACAGCCCACTTTCTACTTCTCCCTTACTCCCTGTTTCTAGTTTTACCTCATAACTGTCAGTCCAACTAAGCTGTGCTCCTTACTGCCCTCCTGCCTACAAAGAATACAGCTATTTGGTTTGCTGCTGGTCCTTCTCGGACTAGCAAACATTTGGGGTACTTTTTGCTAGCTCCTAGCTAGTCAGCTGAATTATTTTCACTGAACCATGCATTTCAAAAAACATTTTATAAGAAAGATCAGCTTACAGCAGAACACACAGAACAGGAAATTTTAAACTAAATACTTAGTCCCGAGATAAGCAGCGGAAAACTGGATCTCAGATTGGGAAATGTCAAACAGCCTGGAAGCATGCAAAGCTTCCTGGACTGCCTATAAGAAGCATGATTTGCTCATTACGTGCTCTGAAAAACTGATGGACTTCTTGAGTATTCATTTCCTAATTTATAAATATTTTGGTTTTGAAATTGAGGAGGCAAGTAATTCTATTGTTCTGCATGGATGATCATAACCGGCTCTTACGACAAAGGGAAAAATCTGTTGCTGATGCAAGTTAGCACAGATTTCAATGCAGATAGACCAGTCTGAGCCAGCAGGCGGCCTGGCCTGAAGGGGCTTCACCTTTCCTTCCACATTGCTCAAGGGACTGGAACTGCCACAAGCATCAGGAATGAAAATCGCACTGCATTTTCACCAATGTTAGATCTGGTAGGTTTTTGTTTGTTCGCTTTTGCATGTGTGCTGTACAATTACTTGATAATCATTTACGAGCCCCAAGAAAATACAACAAACACTTCAGAAATTCACGGAAATTCTCCAGCCAGATTCAGAGTTAACCAACATGTTATACCCTACAGGCTACACCTACAGGTGAGGTGATGAGCACAAAACATTCTCTATAAACCCCACCAAACCACAGAGAAAGCCATAGCTGGTTTAACCAGCAGTTCAGGTGACTTCTGTCCACTCAGCTAAGGGCTAACCCACTCTGAAGGGCACCAGCTGCACTGTGCAGCACAGGCCCCTCCAGGTCTCCTCTGCTTTCCCAAGGCATTTCTTTTCTTCTGTGAGTTTTGGTGCTAGCCACATGCACAAAGCTGAGCTGTAGTAAGCGAGAGGAGCTCCGGTAATACTGGTACACATTGTATGTCTGTGAAGGCAGGCTAAGAGCAAACACACAAACCACAGGGATAATGAGGGAAACAAACCAGTAGGGAACCAACTGAAAAAAGCTGTTTGACAGTCTAAGAGTATCCAAGTTCTCAGGTATTGTACAAAAGCAGCCACAAAACGCAGATGTCACACGATAATTTTTGTTTCAAGTTCACAAGTTAAAAAAAAATCTTGTAAATACATAAGGCAAGAATAGTTATTAAAAGATTGCTTCAGAACCTTTAAAGCTGCTTAGTTCAACACTTTGAGGAAGAAGCTCTTTTGGCTTGCTGGAGATATCCAACAAGGTCATATCTGCCATTTTCCATAAGCAAAGATGCACAGAGAAGAATTAGAAATGCTTGGAGAGCATCTAGTCTTAAAACTAAGAAAAAAAATCATGTCATGTAGGGAGATAAAATTCTTCTCTCCATCCCAGCCCTTTCAGAACTGCACCAAATACCTGTGTTTTCAGGAAATCAAACATCCTGAAGACATGCAAACCATGCTCCTGCTGGAAAGAGCTCTGAGAGTTCACTGATAACCTGGACGCCTTCTCAAGTATATAAATGGAAAATGGATTTGGGGAAGCAAAGCCCTTCTGTGCACCTTGTGGGACCTTGTTACTGCATTGTTATGGAAGTGTGGCACTCATTTTCAAATGGGAAGTATTAGGAGCTGGACAGAGAGCTTCAGCTTCCCTCTAAAGCAGGCTTCCAACCAGACCCTTCTCAAAAAATCCTGCTTCTTGTTTGAGAAACGCGCAGTGTGGATACCGTAACCACTCTGTGCACTGAGGACACAGGAAGGGAAATAAATAAATAAATCTTCTTAGGTTTCATTGTTGTACCACAGAGGATCTTTATTCAGGATCCACCGATAAGCAGTACAAAGGAAGCTGTTACTCTGAGAAGGGAAAGGGCAAGGTGGAGCCTCCAGTTCCCACTGAACTGGTGAGAGCCAATCCGGTGCCTGCTCCCAGGAATAAAGCAGTAAGCTGAAACACTGCCTCAGCCCTTCTGTTATATAGGACCCACTTAAGTACAAGCAAACAGGAGGCTACAGGAGCACCATCAGGAAAACAACAAGGTGAAAGGTGAAACTGCACGTCAGAGCCCATTTTGTTTGCTCAGTTTTTTTGTTTCCTTTTTCGTTTCTGCATCAATACTACTGCCAGGTTGAGCACATTATTCCACAACGCAGCATCGAAAGAATTGCTTACCACTCGTAACATTTTTTCCACATTTTTTTCCACATTTGTTTTATTATCCACTTAAAGGCTTCATCCTCTTACCTTAATTACTTCTGGTGCCTGCTGAATCAAAGCTGGAACAGAGTCTCTGGAGGCAGCCCCAGCATGGCTTTTTTGCCCTGCAAGGAGGGACTGTGAAGGAGTTGACAATGTTTCCTGAAGAATTTGCATCACTTCCTTCTCCTTGGACAAGCTTCCTTTGCCTGTCTGGAATTCCACTAGTTCCTGGGCAAAGTCCTCGATGCTTTCTAAGATACGCAGTAAAAGGGCTCTGTCATCTTCTTCCATTTTATGACCATTGGTTTCCATGATTTTCGACAAAGGGGAAGTGGGGTCACTGGGTTTACTTTTGGGTTCAAGAGCCGCAGGTAGTACCGGCCTACCCTGCCAGCCAAGCACCTGCAGACAGGCAGGTTCGCTCTCCTTTGGAGGGGGCTCCCTAAAAGTACTCTCCATTTTCTGTGAGAAGTGCTCCAAGTCCAGCAGCAGTTTATCTATTTCATCCTTGTCTATCTTGCACGTCTGTTCTCCTTTGGAGATGCCAGCTTGAGAACCACGCAATACAGAATCTGAAACTGGTTTTAAAAGATTACTTTTCTCAGAAGCGTGAGAAAGTTCACCTCCTACCCTGGCAGGTTCTGCTTTACCATCAGCAATCGCATCTGAAGAACCAGATAGCTGGTAGCTATGCTTTAAACTCTCCCAGTCCTCCTTCTCCTTTGCCCTCGTTGTTTTCTCCAGCACTCTTTCCCCATCTGACTCTTCCTCGATGTACAAAACCTCAGTGGAAGGTGTGCAGTCAGGAAGCCTTGTGGCTGATAACTGAGGTAGAACACAAGCATCTTTCACAGCTCTCACAGTGTTCTCCTGTGAGGTGCTGCAAAGGGAGTTTGAGGTAAAGCTCACAGTGCTTGTTTGGATGGACTGAGAGGCACTTGTCACCTCACACTGGTCGCCTGGTGGTCTGACAGGAACTGCATTTGAGGATGGAAGCTGAATAATATCTTCATACCTAGGTGGCTGCTCATCTCCAAATATTGGCGAAAAGGGAGTTTGCTGCAAGCCATGAAAACAGTTCACTAATTCTCCAAGATCACCTGCCTCCTTGTGCCCAGGTGGCTTGAACTCAAAGGGTAGCTTTTTCAGGTACGAAGAAAATCTTCTCATCAGATTCACATATATCATTTCTGAACTAGCCAGAGGATCGCTGCTATTCCCTCCACTAACACTGTCTGCGGATTTCTTTTTGATGCAGTGCTTTATTATGTCAGTGCACTTCTTCAGATCCTCTGAGCACTTGAGCAAGATGTCTAAGCACACTTTAATATCTCCACCAGAAGAACCATCCAGCTTGTGCTTCTCCAAAATCTGGGTAATGAAGTTTTCGTCAGAAAAGGAATGAGGTGAGAAGGGAACCATGGGATTCATACTGACTTCTGGAGCATCATTGCTCTCCTGCCATTTCTCCACAGGCGAGGGACTCTGCAAAAAGCCACACGGAGGAGAGTTCTCATCGTTGCTGAAGTGCCCATAAATCATGTCAAAATCAAATGATCGTCTGCTGAATGATTCTGAACGAACTTTCCTCCCCTTTCTGTAGGCCACATGATTGGAAGAGTTTTTGAGCTTCTCAAACGAGAATTCCTTTATTTTACCACTGGCGAGATTTATTGCCTCACCAGTAATGTCTTTTAAACTGCCAGAAGCTTGCACCGAAGAGCCCTTTTTGATTCTGGGATTATTCAGGAGTATTTGCTGATAGTCCTCATTCCCAGGTAAGGCAAGGCCATTTTCAGAAACTGGAATTTTGTGGTCTAGGTTGGCATCTTGGACACCGAGTTCTGCACACACACTGTGGTGGGCAACTATACATGCAACTCCTTGCTTAAACACCTGGCAGGTCCCCGTGCAGTAATGCACTGTGTGCTGAAAGTGCTGTTCTATCACCACGCTGCTGTAGCAGTTCACAGTTGTGACCATAAGCCTGTAGGTTGCTGCCATAGCACAGATCCCGCTTGGAAGTGAGGCTTCAAAATTCACCATTAATTTAGCAGGCAAAAATAAACCCCTTTGACTTTGCACAGCCACACCAGATTGAATAGAAATACTCAAACATCAGTTGAAAACATTCAAGCCACGTGAGAAACAACTGTCTTGGAAAGTCCTAGTGAAGTCTGGAGTGGTATCGGCAGTAGTTACAACAATTAGTGCAACCTGCATATGGTTTGACTTAAGGCAACTTGATTTCTGTACTCCACGCAGAGAGCTCTGCTGATCAGAGACACAGCCTGAGCTGCTCCATTTCTAACAGCCCAGGTAGTGTCTCCAAAAGGAGTCATAAATTTCAGGCAGCTTTAGGGCAAAGCTGACAACAATTTTTGTTTGATCTTTCTTTTCAGGTTGATCAGTAGAAGACAGACAATAATCAAGTGGTATGTACAGATAAAAAATCCACAGTATGCTTGTGTGATTCCCTTCTCACATTGTTAAGGAAGGTCCCTGCAAGAGAAAGAGAAACAAGAGTCATTACAACTGACATGTAAGATACAGCCTTTTCTGACACCAAACAAATGGCATCAGACCTTACCAACCAGCATTCAGGCTTGTATGGAGTGAGAACAGGCTGATATTTTTCCTTCACTCAGATCTACCATATAAGAACACTGCTAAGGAGCTAGCCTATATTTATACACGGGCTGTGTGTTGCTCTGTTGCCATTTTAACAGCTCTATTTTAACCGCTCATTGATTTCTTTTTTCCAGACTTGCTTATTTCCCCCCTCTTTCCTATTCTGAGCAAAACATTACCTTTAATTCTAACGGTACACAACACTGTGATAATGTTGCAAATTTCTGGCTTTCATTTCCCAAGACCCTCTAACACAAGGAAAACAGTGGTTGAGAAAAGCACTTTCAGGATTTCCAAATTCTCTGGATTATAAAGCACTGCAAACAGCCTGAAGCAAAGCAGATGAATGCCTCTAAAAATGTTTGGCCTTTCATAAAGGCTACTTCCATTAGCCTTTCACCAAGGTCTCTGGGACTATGGCAAACATTTTAAGGCAAAATTGCTTTTTTTATTCTCCTATAACCCATAAATAGCGTAACAGACTTCTTAAATAAGTCTGCTTGTGTAGACACCAAGAGCAGAAAATAGCATTTGTGTAGAGGTTCTGTCTGTGAAAATCAGAATTGAGAATTTTACACTCAGAGTAAGCATTTATGGTTGCATTTCCTATCATAATGGTTAAATTGTACAAAAAGCAAAAAACAAACCCATCCTGCTGAACATTGACATTTTATATATTATAAATCCTTCATATGAAGTTGAAAAGAACTGATTTTAAGATTATTTGATGGGATTCATAAACACATCAAATCTGCTTATTACAATTAAGTAGAATTGCACGCAGAAGCCTTTCTGATTTGTTCCGTGGATTACATAAAACATTGCAATGATTGCATGCAAGATGAAGTAGCAACTGCTCCAACTACCAGGCTGGTGTCTGTAACAGGCTGCCACCTGCCTATCAAGCACCACAGGCCAATCTGTCTGTTGTACCAGGGCCAGCTTCACAGCGCGCTTCTGTGCCTGCCCCATACTGCTCCTCCCTGCACCCACTGGCATAGCCCCAAAGGCCCACAGGCACAGGAGAGCCTTCCAAAGGGATGATCAGAGGTATGGGGTGTGCCCCAGCCACAGCACTGAGTCAGAGGATAAAGGGCGTAAACAGAACCATTTTTAAACCCTGGGGTCCTTATACGTGGAGCAGAAGCCTAGGTAATAAGACTCCACACCCTCCAGTCACTGACTCTCAGGCTCCACAATCAGGTGCGTTTAATGCTTCGCTGAATCAGAGCCACAGTTTAAAAAATGGCTCACCAACGTGCTCATCTTATAAGACTTAGCAGGCTTTGTTCAGGCAGGAAAACCCATGCTTCCATGACTCCAAGAAGTCTAATGATCTCTGCACTCCAAGAGCCTTCTAACACTTTCAGAGGTAAAAGTCTATTTGCTGCTTGCTCTTTTTTGACTCTCCATCAACAAACTTCCCAGCATCTCCCGAAAGAAAAGTTCCATGATGTTTAGAGAAAATAGAGGCCATCAGAAGAGATTAGAAAAGTCAATATTGTTTCCAAAAAAGCATGAGACTTGTTCAGAGCTCCTTCCTCCCTCCTCCATGAGTCACAGCAGAAGACTGCTCTTCACAATTGCTCCAGTCCTCTCTTCCCTACTTTTCTAATGAAAAGTTTTACCACCAAGGAAGACTGTCTGAGATGTACATAATTTGGGAAACAATTGCATCTTGACAAAGCTATTCCCTAATCATAGAAATAACACGTTAAATCTCTCTGACTCCTCTATCACTCCAAGGGGTTGCTTCCCCCTTGTATATGTACTCCTTCCATTGGGATTAAGTTTCTCCCATCCTTTAAGCTATCTTCAAACACTGAAGCTTTTCATGTCATTAAGATTACTCCACAAGGATTTGTCAAATGAAGTCTCACAGATTCTCAGCCTAAACCGCTGCTTCTTCAGTTCAGTTTTGCTTTTCTAGATATGCTCAACAACACATGAAGCAGCTCCTCCTATCATCTCCGCTTTCCAAATAATTCTACATGCTTAAGCCCTAAGCCACTGCTCAGCCATGCTCAAGCAGTCAGCCCCTTAGAAGAAGGATGCTGTACAGCCACGCTTGCTGCATTCTCTGACCTCTTCCCAACCAGGCTGTGTTTCTCTGGTACCACCACATCCAGGAGCCAACACAATCAAGACACAGACATGTCACGGCTGTCACAACATGACCTCCTCCTCCGTGCTCAGATGTCTTCAGCCCTTTTACTGTTGCGGCAGGGAAAGAAGTAAACAGAGAATGAATATTAAAAACCTAATAGCCTCTTTCCAGCCAGTTTAATGTCTTCTCGGTGAATATCACTTGCCTTATTTTCACTGTCTGCAGAAATGTGCTAAGGTATCTCAAGGCACTGAAGCACTTGTCTCCAGCTACACACAGCCAAGACCAGTAACTTCCCAGGCGGCACAAATGCACACACACACAGAGTATAAACTGCATTTCTCACTCCTCCACTGGCTTTGCTTGACCAGGATTAGCATGCACTCAGCTCACAGCTTTATTTGACACTGAACCACCAAACACGATCCAGCATATAAACCCAGTCAAGACAAAATCTTCCTGTTACCAGATCTGGGAATCTGGTCTCAAATTGAGCTTGAATGGGCTTTTGTTGAGACTTTGGGCTGGTGACTCAAATCTACTATTTATGAACAGCAACAATGGAAAGACTGAGTGCATTAAGAAACATCCATATTTCCATCCTTTCGACCTCCCATTTCATTCCAGTTGTGCTTCTAAACAGCCCCCAGTTCAGATATGCTGGAGATAGATTCAGTAATTAGGACTGCTGCCACGAAACCAACTCCAACCCTAAGGATACAGGGTTGGTTTCACGATATAAACTGTGAATGAATAGGGCTTCTTGTGTGACTGCAGAATAATGCTTCATGTCTTCCCTATCTGCAAGAAGAAATGAATCACTTTCCAAGGGAAAAAATTATTGCAGATACTAATAATATAAAAGGTTACTCTACAGTACACAAGAAATTCTATTCATGTAAAGATTATGCTCAAGTAAAGTAACTGAACAATGACAATCTGTAAGCTAGGGATCCACCAGCCAGCAACTTGGCTTATGTGCAAATGGAGCCTAGCAAGCCAGGAACAGGCCTCTGCTGCCTCTGAAAGCTTCATGGTAAGCACAGCTTTTCCTTCATTCCAAGACTAGCAACAACATTAGCAGTAACCCTAAGAGGAAACCAGCCCTTTCTGCGTCCGTACACAGCAAAGGTGTCACTCACTATGTAAGCATGCTTGCTTCAAGCAGAACAGGTGGTAGGGTAAGTTCTCCAGCTTGGATACTTCTATAAAAATAACAGAGGGGAAAAAAAATAATAAGAAAAATCAATAGCTCTGCCTTTTGACAAGTCATCAAGGTGGTTTCAGAAGCACCATCCCAGCTATGCGATCAGGTGCCATGTCCTAGCTCTGAGAGGAGCTGGTTGTGCCAAAAAGCAGCTTAACTGCATCTTCTCATTCAGAAATGCTTGGATTTTGTTCACGTTTTATTGAACAGCAAATTACATTGATTATAGAAAACAAAAGCTGGCACATAAAGTGATGTTTTCTTGCAAAGCACAAATGTCAGGCAGCCTTTGGTACTTCAGTAAATAAAAGGAAAAAGTATTCACTTACTCCTGTAAGTTCTACAATTCCACAAGCCATTGCAGAGTGGTACTGGGCGTTGGGATTTATCATTATGCTTCTTCCTATGTGGCCCAAGTCGTAATATTGTCAACCGAGATTACAAAGCACACGTGCAAATGCAGACTCAGAGGATGGAGATGAGAATAGAAGAGGTGACTCAGTTGTTGAAGAGTTGCTGTGCAGCATCAGAAGGAGCTGACACAGAGCCACAGTCCACAAAAGCCAAAGAAGCTCAGATCACACAGCAGCCACAGCTCCAATGGCCCCATCCCAGTCAGCACAGCGACTGGTGATTTTATAAAGCATTCTACAGACACTGGAAAAGTCTTGGAAAATCTGGTATTAAAACCATTGGATGTTCCACCTTTGCTGGAACTGCTCATCTGCTGAACTGAGCAGAAATGCTGCAATGAACCATTTGTGTGTTATTTTGACCTGCACCACAAAGGACCCAATTTACAAACGGCCACCACAAGTTACCTTCCAAAGCAGGCTGGACACAAAACTAAGAAAATTTACCTTTTCTTCCCATATTGACACATGTGCAAACATTCAGCACAAAATTTACCTGTGAAATTATAGAATCAGAAGTGCACACACCACTTAAACCAGCAAGGTTTGAGAAACTGCAACATCTCCAAGACCAACGTCTCCAAGACCAACGTCTCCAAGAGCTGCCTTTACCCCTGCCAGGGGATCTGCTGCAGCCAAACAAACCTCTCTTTGAACCACAGCATATTCCTTATTACATTCATTCTGAGTTCTTCAATACTTAATTACATTCACTGTAGAGAAGAGGTCATTATTTCTGATTTGAGCACGTTTAACACCAAGTTCCAGCAAACAGGCATCAGGTTTTCTTAAGATAATCTAGAAAAATCTTTCAGGGAGTGAGGTTTCCTCACCTGCAAATACAGGCATGTTATGATCAAACCACCTCCAAGCTTTCTCCACGATTTACAGACGTTTTGCAATACAGATGTCTTCCAAGTCAATGCTGCAGCCCTTTCCTGAACTTTGTCAGCATTCTTGCAAAGAAAATGAAGCAGACGTGGGATTCATCTCATTCAAGTCATTGACCTCAAAGTAAAGTGTATTTTTATGATGCAGGAAGCCAAACTGCACACAAGATCCAGAATAGATGAAAAACGTATTCAGAAATGAATTTCTAAACTGCCTTTCAAAAACACCATCACTACACAGTGCTCTCACCTTC